CCGCGGGCCTCCCTCCTTGCTGAGCGGTGGCGTGTCCCCTTGCTTCCCCCCCAGATTTCCTTATAGAAGCACAACCCCCCACCCCCCACAGCAGTGCCCGGGCACCCCTGCTCCCCGGACAGCGGAGGCCCAGCCTGACGGGGGAACTCGGCTTCCAGCTGCTGTCTCGCCTCGGGGCCAGGCTTCTCCCCAGGAGCACCTTTAAGGTTTATCACAGCGCCGCATCATCTTCAGCAGTAACTGGTCCCTCTTCACCCGTACATGGCACTGCAGAGTTTAGCAAGGTCTCCACACGCATGGAGCTTCACGCGAGCCCTCTGCAGGAGACGGAACAGATGTCCCCATTTCACAGGAGAGGAGAGCGAGGGGCAGAGGGATGGCGTACAGATGGCAGCTAGGGAGCGGCAGAGCCTGCACTGCAGCCACCTGGACTTCACGGTCAGAGCTGTTTGCCTAGCCATCGTTAACAGACCATTTTTACGTCTGACGACAGAGCCGGAAGGGTCTTAAATAGATCACTAGCCTAATCCCTTCTTAGTGTTCACAGATACGGAAAACAAATCCCAGAGAAGCTAGGTGATCGCCCCGAGTCACCGGCTATTTTGCGACGAATAGGATCTAAAGGCACCATCTTCAGACTCCAGGCCACTTTTCACGCCAGTCGTCCCTACAGAGAGGTTCTTTCATAAGCTGCTCTCTCACCCGCTGTCTTCTGCTTAGCCAAAGGTCAATCAGGAATAAAATCCTCAAAGTGTAGAATGTTAGGGCCAGGAGCGACCGTCCAGACCACCCCAGGCCAGCCCGCTGACTGGGCCGACAAGGCGCGCGGGGGCCCAACCCCGCACTTGCGACGTTCACGTCTGTGCACCTTCCACTCCTGGTGTCACTTCCTTTCTAAGTCGTTATAAACAAAATCTGGCCAAGAATGCTGACTTCCTTCTTTGACACTCAGTGTGTGACAGGCCACAGATCTGCAAAGCCAAAGTGAAACTAAAACAGGGTTTGAATTCAGAAGCTGACGGACCCACCACGCCTGAGTAACAAAATAACCAGGTTTTGCAGCGTTCTAAGCAGGGTCCCCCGCTCTCCACGTCCCACCCGGGGAGAAGGCCCTACTGAAGTGCGTGCGTGTAGGACAGGGTACCGGTGGCTCTTTGGAAGTCACCCATCCCTTCATTTTCAATCTGAAAATGTAGCGATATTGTTTTGCTAAAGGCTTCTCCACAAATCAGGCAGGAACCCCGATTAACACTGGCAGCCGTCGCCAGCCAGGGCTGTCACAGTTGCTGAGCCCCCGAGGCCCAGACCCTCCTCCCGTGGCGTTTGTGTACCGTCCACAGGAGCGCCTGCATATGCGCCCCGCGCACCTCGGGGCGTGTGGCCGGCCGCCTCTCCCACGGGATGGGGAACTGCGGTGAGGGCCCACTTTCTACTGAACACACACTTCAGGCCGGGTAAGACAGGGCCCCTACCTTCAAGAACTTACAGAAGGATAAACAACACCATGTGCAAAACCAAGCGCGGGCCCAGAGCCGTGAACAGGGGCCGAGGAGCCCAGAAGACCCGCAGCTGCTGGCAGGTGGGGTGGCTGCCGCGGAGGTGACCCACCGCAGTCCGAAAGGGCTAATGGCCTCGATCGGGCACAGGGAGGCGGGGGGCAGGCCGGGCCGGCGGGCCAGCGTCGGCAAGGCAAGGAGAGACACAGGTGAGCGGTGCTGGCACGTCAGGTGCGAGGCAGGGGCGGTGGGGGCCGAGGCAGGGGCGCCCACCGGGCACAGGGGCCGCTGACGCGATCCGCGAGTAAGCGAGTCGGGGCGCCCCCAGCGCGGCTGCCGCCGACGGCCCCCTCCCCGCGCACCTGCGCCTTCGCGGCGGCGGGACCGACGCGGCGCTGCCTCGCCCGGGGCTTCCCCACGCGGGCCGCACACTCCGGCCCGGGCCCCTCCACCCGGCTCTACACCGGCTGGCAAACGCCTGTTGCCGCGCCGTGGCGGGTGCCTGCGCGCTGGCCGGCGGCCCGGCGTTTTCTCCGCAGTCGCCACCGGTTTCCAGGAGAAGGATCCCTGTGGGCCTCCCGACCCCGGGCTCGGGGGCTGGGGCGCCGGGGGCCCCCGGGCCCGGCTGGCACTGGGTCTGGCCCGGCGCCGGTGCCACCTGGAGCTGGCGCAGGGCGCAGTGCCGAGCTCCGTCCTCCCGGGGGAGCGCAGCCTGGACGCCAGCAGGACGGGCCGCCGCCTCCGCGGGCCCGCGCGCGCCCCGCGGCCAGGCTAGGCGGGCCCCGGGCCCCGGGCGCCGCGGCGGGGAGGGGCGGGCGCCGGGGCCGCTGTCATTACCTGGCCAGCGTGGTCTTCCCCGAGCCCGGGAGGCCGCGCAGGAGGTAGAGGTGCTTCCTAAAGCTGTGGCGGCGCGGGGGCGTCCCGCGCGGGGGCGGCGGGGCCGGTCGCCGCGGCTGCTGCCGGAGGCTCAGCCTCCCGAAGGACTCGAGGAAACTGTCCTCCATGGGCGGGGGCTGGCCGCGGGGGCCCGGGTTCCCTCTCCCGGAGTCGCGGTCGCGGCCAAAGCCGTTGTTTTTGTGGCTCTCCGGCCATGTGATAGATGGAGGGGCGGGCGCTCGGAGCCCAGCCCCTCCTTCCCACCCGCCCGGCCGCGCCGCGTGGGAGGGGGCGTCCGCACCTGGAGGGCAGGGGGCTCTGGGAGACCGACAGCCGGGGAAAGGGCGGCCCCCCACCCCAACCCTCCGCCTACCCCTCCAACCTTGCCTCCCGGTGCCCTTCGCCCAGAGGGAAAAGGGTCCCCCGAGGGGCACCTCCCGGGCCGCACGCCAGGCCCTCTGCAGTACCCTCCCTCCAGCCCACCCCCGACTGGCTTAGACCTCGAAAGTGAAATAACTTTAGTTGACGATCAAGGAACAACAGCATTTTGCATAGTGCCAGTAAAGGCCATTGTCCCCCGGGTTTGTGAGCACCAACATCTGGCTGAGGTCCCAAGGTTAACACCACTCTTCCAGAGCCTGGATTTTATTTATTGATTTATTTAATCCTTCTTTATCAGCCTGCCAAAATATTCTTAGAAAGCTTCGTTGCCTCCACATAACTTTAAATCTCTTCTTCCTCAAAAAAAAGTACCCCTTAAACTCAGATTGATCTCTGAAGAGCCGCATAAACTAGGTCTCCTGAGCAGGAAGGACAGCGGCCCAGGTCTCACACTGCTGCCACCTTTAGACGGGGCCCCCCAGGAACTGTGTCAGCCCCCCAGGGAAAGGAGCAGTCTACCAGAACCATGTATAAACAAGTATCCAGAATTAAGTTCTAAGTTCCATGTACTGGTGACAGCCAGTTGGTTGATCTCAGTATTTTACACCCAGAGTGTGATAGAGTGATTCTATTTTTTTAACCAAGATTCAAGGTGCATGGACTGAAAGACACAATATTAAAAATACCATTCTGTGGATGGAGCTAGAGGGTATTATGCTCAGTGAAATAAGCCAGGCGGAGAAAAACAAGGACCAAATGATTTCACTCATCTGTGGAGTATAAGAACAAAGAAAAACTGAAGGAACAAAACA